GAGAGAGAGAGAGTAGGTAGATATGTAGGTAGATGTTTCCAGGTGTATTTATCCATGTGCTGGAGAAGGAAATCCCTGACAACCTGCAGCACTTAAGTCTTTGTTTCAGCTGGCATAGCATTTGATCAATGTAATTCTCATCAATCACTCTAACTAAAGAACTTTCCGAAAGGGGGAAAAAAAGAGTTTTTGCACTCTGCAAATCTCCCCCAAACAGCCCGTTTTTTTGTGAAAACAGGGCCCGTTTTTTTCAAATAAAAGGCATGAATAGCCTTGGAGGGGGCTTGCAGAGTGCTCCTAGGGGGGCAAAATTGAGCAATTTTTTGCGAAAACAGGCCTATTTTTTGTCAAAAAAATGCATGCATAACCTTATGGAGGCTTATAGAATGCTGCTGGGGGCTGGGCGAGGGGGCAAAATAATGGCCCACTTTTCACCCATTTCTGCCCTACCCAGCCCCCAGAAGCTCTCTGAAAGCCTTCATAAGGCTATGCATGGCCATTTTTGTGAAGAGGGTGGGGCTTGGGGAGGCAAAAAAAATGCTATATTTGATGTATAAGATGCACCCAGATTTTCAGCCTCTTTTTTGAGAAAAAAGGTGTGTCTTATACTCCGAAAAATACGGGTACATCTAGTTTTGAGAAACAACTGCAAAATGCTCAAATGATTTATTATATAATAAACATTTCTATCTTAAGCTTAATTTTTAATAGGGATATCAACTGTGCATTGTTACTGAATGTTGCTTGTACTTATTAAAAACTAAGAAAAACCGAAAAGGAAAAGAAAAGGAAAAAAGAAGTAAAAAAAAAAAAAAACTAGTTTGTTCCTTTCCCCTTCTTTATGCTTCAGTGTTTATAACTCTATGTACCCTGCTAAGCAGGGGTGGGCTTCAAAAATTTCAGCAACGGGTTCTCTGCCAGGTTGCTGGTGGGTGTGGCCATGGTGGGTGTAGCCTAGTTGGCCTTCTGCACTATGCACCATGGCCGGGGGGGGGGGCATTTTCATCTTCCCCAGGCTCTGGAGGCTTTCCTCAAGCCTCCAGGAGAGCAAAAACTGCTTCCCCCAGGCTTCGGAAGCCCTCCGGAACTTCTGGGAGGCCCATTTTTTTCCTTTCCCGAGCTTCCGTGCAGGCCCTGCACTTACCTCACATCCAAAACAGGCTGCATGGAGACTCCTGGGAGGGACAGAATGGGGTGGGAGGGGCCAGAGGTGGGATTTGGTGAACCCATAGCAGCTCACTTCTGCTGCTAAGATAAGGAGGCCTTGGAAGCTCAAGGTAGCCATAGAATACTTAACAGCATTAAATATTTGTCTGTTATATGTGCATGGAACTCTATGTGCTTTTTCTAATACTTAATTGCACACTTGAGTCAAAAAGCAAAACTGCTAATGCACTTCTCTCAATCCACAATTCTAGTTCCATCAGATAAAACGTACCACCATACTGGGTATTGTAAAACATAATAAATAGGAGGTTGGAGCAATTCCTGCATAGGAAAGTTGCCAACACGAAACAAATGGCAGATGCACATAAATAAATTGCCAAGAGATCTTGTCAGTTGAGTGATGATCTCTAATAAACAATAAATAATAGAAATCAAAGGTTGTTGCGAGACAGGGGGAAGATAGCTATTTCCCCTCCTTCTTGCAGAATCCCCAATGAAATTTAATAATAAAAATTTTCGGATACATAAAAGCAAGATTTTTTTTTCACATAGTGCATAGTTGAACAATACATTTAGCTTGTAAGGATGATCTCTGACCTGACAGCCATTCGTTTTGAACAGTATATCTTACTTCAAGGACCTCATGTGCTGCTTGTGAGCCTCCTAGGACACCAAGCTGACCAATGGGAGACACATGTTTCTGAATAAATTATTAGGGCTTTGGTTTAGTTCTTTCTTTATATTTTCTGCAAACCCCTGCACTCTTTAAATGATTTTTTTGTAAACACAGATGTTGTCTGATCAGTGGCCAACTCTGAGATACCCACCCAAAAGTGCATTTTTTCCATTTTTTATATATTTATTATTAATTTTATTTATTTCAAAAAAACCAGCTTTCTGGTCCTGGTTAGTGTGAACTCAACTTTCCTTTCAACACATTTCTTCTTTCAATCGTTTCATCTTTTAAACTGGTTTAAAATAATGATGTAAGAATATTTGCTGGAAGCCAGTTCATTTTCGTATTTATTTTACACAGCGCTAATCATAGCTACACTCTAAAATGTTATCATAAACTCACAAACGGACAGAAATGCCCTTTTAAAGTACTTCTTTTTTCAAGTATGTTTTTCCATTTTAAATATTAAAATGTGTTAGCAAGACCTTTCTGGTCTCTGTAATATAATAATAGGTTTAAAAGAAGTTAATGGAATGAGACTTGTGAAAATAGAAAGTCTGTGTTTATCTCCAGGTCATTTGAAGTACAAACAACCACAATTTTTCTTTATTTTCTTTTTAATTTCCAGTGAACTCAATATTGTCAAAGGGCCTTTTGATATGCATTCCTTCACTCTGTGATATGGAAACTGTATAATGCACTGTTAAAACTGTCTGATTGTTTGTAACCTTCCACTGGGTGAAATGGTGATCTCTCCCTCCTGGGGAACTGAAATTTGGCAAAGTTGTGGTGCTTCAGTGCTGCAGTACTGTTCTGCTTATATGATCATCATTCCAATGCACCCTGCCATTTTCCTATAGGGAAAGGCACTGGGGAAGCCGTTAGAGAGTTGAACATTGCTCCCCTTCTTACTGGGATCTTTTGCCTGTCCATGGTCATTCGGTTTCTCTGTTTAGGTAAGGAAATATATTTGAAACAATGACCAAACAGGACACATGTTGTCTAGTAGAAAATTCTGCTGAAATCTTACTTTGCCTTTGAGTGCTCAGTTCCACCAAAGCCAAGAGAAGAATTTCAATGCCCTCTTTAAAGCCAAGCTGGTAGAGGCGTAGAGCTATGCCCAGGGTATTGAGTCATATTATTGTCTAGAGTAAGCTAAAGTTTACATTAGCAAGAACATCTCTCTTTAGACCCTTGGTTCTCTGTGATTTTGGCAAGGCAATATGTAATAAGTTGACATTAATATAGGCTCCTCAACTTAAACTCAGCAGAAACTACATTAGGGCATTGCCAG